TGGTGCACTATCATAGTGTAAAATCCATGAATTGTTATTCCACAATACCGGCCGTTTTCGACGGATGTGCTCACGCAAACCTCCCAAAACGTCAAAATTGTATTTAGCGTGTCCAAAGAAATCAGTTTACGGTATTATTTTTGAAAGAAAATATCCACAAAAATCAATCGAACGGTGAGAGATCGAGCTGTCTCGCTATCTCTCTAACACTTGCGCCTGGTTTTTCTATATTTTCCTCAGTTGAAGAATTCAATACCTTCAAGTCTTTGCATCACTCGTATACTTGTACTTTTGATAAAACAGAATCACTGTAAGCCTTTTCCAACATTCGCAAACGAAATGTGGTTAGAAGTATAAAATTTTAAAAAAATTCTTTTTCGATATTTTTATCTATTGTAGGAATCACAACGCACAACTGAGGTGTACCGACTTCAGCAGCTGCTGTAAACAAACTGGTTGATAGATGGCACTCATATTTGGCATAGTAGTAAAGGACAGTCCTAACAACTTAGAAAAATACATTTTTGTGAAATATCAGAGATAAAATTATCCTCTACAACACATTACTATCTTGCCTTCAGAACATTTTGGATCAGACAGTATAAACATGTTTGAACTTCAACTCAGTTTTGGTTTGGATTTTAACTTAATCTAGGTTTGAAGAATTAGTTTCAAGTTCCGATCGCATATGATCTTTCGTTTCTGGCGACATCTTCAAGCATACTTCTGACGTATTTTCTTCATCCATTCTTGATGTGTTCTAAAATTAGTAGATTAGTAGATTTTTGTAACCAAAACTGACTGTTCCGGCTTGTAATTTCTTAAAGGAATATTATCACAAAATTTTTCCAAAAAAATTTCAATCTTTTACAACAGCAATAAATGCATGTTATGTCACTCGCTAATGTTATAAGGAGATGCGAAGGAAGTCATTGACAAGGTCAGATAACCACAGAAAGACTCATTAAAATTATATGTTTTGCTGTTCAAAGCTTCAAATTAAGATAGTTGGCTTTTCATAATAATTATAACTAGAAACATTTCAGTGGCGCCTTTCAAATTATATTTCAGCAAAAACTAAAAAAATATAATTTTTTCGAATTTTTGCTACACCCTGTATGCTACTACAAACTATGCTGATAACATAACAGGACAACTGAAGCATTTAAATATAAAATAACGAAAACCACAAAATTAAAAATAAATGTTTTTATACAGATAGTACATACATATGTATTTATATATGTACACAAGTAGATATATTTTTATTTTATTTGTTTTTTCAGGCACTTGCTGCGTATAAAATAACATAAGACTTAATTTTAAAATGTACAGTTGACAATTTTATTTCTTGCAACTTGCTTGATATGCTTTACATACATATGTACATATGCATGCGTATGAGTATTTTTGAAGTATTTGCACTTTACTTGCCAGGCAACAGAAAAAATCGAAAATTAAAGTAACAACAACAACACGGTAGTGAAAAAATAACCAAAATGTAAAAGCGCACACGAACGACAAATAATGCTAAAAGCAACAGCAACAACAACAACTACATAAAATGCGAATTAAGCTGATAAAGCTGGAATTTGATTAACCTTTTTATTTGCATTCTGGTGTTGCAATTCGACTTTATTTGAGGTGTAAATAAATGAAACGAAAGAAAATGCATCGGACATATGCATGTGTGTGTGTGTGTGTATGTAGCCTTTACGAAAGTAAATAGCAAAGGTGGCGACAATGTGCAAATATGTGGCAACACTGTAGATAGCTGCAAACTTGTAGATTCGGTTAAAGTTTAAAAAATTGAAAAAAAAACTAAAAGTTGAAAAAAAAACACA